CTGAATACAGTGTGAACTAAACAGACAGAAATTGCTCACCTTACAGAACTTACATTCTACGTGAAGTTGTTTGGAGCAGGTTTGGGCTATGGAGAAGGAAAATGTTCAGGTGCCCTCACATTTCGGGGCACGTAGCTATTATATGAGAAGCAGATCATAAGGAATCACCCTCTGCTTCACTCAATCTTTGTATTAGCTTCCCTTTTTTTATTGGCCCCAATTTAATTAATATAATTTGAAAATTAAATAAAATATGAAAGAGTATGTTAGAAGGTCCTCGGTGCTAAGGTGGAAAATAAAAGAGAGAAGTAGAATAGTGAAGTGGAGCTTCAATTTTAGATGCCAAGAAAGGACCCACAGAGAAGGTGACTCTGAAGTAAAGACCCAAAGAGAGGAACAACTGTGCAAATATCTAGGCAACTAGCAGTCCAGACAGAGGAAACTTGGAGCTCTGAGGTGCAGGAGTGCCTGGGCCCATTCAAGAACCAAAGGGAGGCCATCCTAACATCCAGGGGATGGGATAAGAGATGCGAGCAGGGCCTTTGGCCATCTCAAGACTTCAGTTTGTATTCACATCGAATTACCAAATAGTGGAATGTATTGAACATAGCTGTTGCACAAGTTGAGAAAGGAAGGGAGAAAAGCAAGAGGGACACCTACCTCCTCATCTATTCATTGTCCCAGATACAAAACCTGTACTAAGTTTGTCTGTACTAAAATAAAAGATGGACTAAGTGGAGCTAAATCAGAAACCACAAGTGGCAGGAACACCTAATGTAGATGCTGGGCCAAGAGGGATAAGGGCAGAAGATAGGGCCAAGAGGGATAAGGGCAGAAGATAGGAAATGTTCTCTATCACGAGATAGTCTTAGTCATTGGAAGACACGTAGTCATTGGAAGACACTTAGTCATTTTTCAGAGACTTCTGAATTTTTCGTTTTTGTATCAGGGATTGAACCCATGCACTTAACCACTGATCCACATCCCCAGCAACCCCCACCCCCTTTTTTTTAGTTGTAGGTGGACACAATGCCTTTATTTTTATTTATTATTTTTTAAAAATATTTTTATTAATTATTAATGGACCTTTATTTATTTATTTGTTTGTATGTGGTGCTGAAAATCAAACCCAGTGCCTCACACATGCTAGGCAAACGCTCTACCACTGAGCCATGACCCCAACCCTATTTATTTATTTTTATGTGGTGCTAAGGATCAAACCCAGGGCCTCACCCCTGCTAGGCGAGTGCTCTACCACTGAGCCACAACCCCAGCCCCCTCCAGCCCTTTTTTATTTTTTATTTTGAGAAAGGATATTGCTAAGTTGCTGAGGCTGGTTTTGAACTTGGGATCCTCCTGCCTCAGCCTTCCTAGCTGCTGGGATTATAAGTGTGCACTGTGACAGGGGCTGAGACTTCTGAATTTTGTACTGCTTAAGGCTTGTGTAAATGGCAGCATTTCCTTTATAAACCTCTATCTCAAGAGCATTCTGTGTCCTTAGCAAAGGCTAATCTGCTGTTTCCTCATCACTGGGTTACTGGAGTCAGTAAAAGCCTCTCCAGCTTTTCTGCAGTATACCACAATGTTTGAAATGAGGGGTTGGATCTTCTTATCTAAAAAGTCCTGAAATGATAAGTACCTCTTTTGTTCTTTTTTATGATACCAGTGATTGAATTTAAGGGTGCTATACCACAAAGCCACATCCCCAGCTCCCACTTTCCTTATTTATATTTTGAGACTGGGTGTCCTTAAATTTTGAGGCTGCATTTGAACTTGGGGTCTTCCTGCCTCAGCCTCCAGAGCTGCTGGGATTACAGGTACACACCACCAGGCCTAGCTGAAATGTTAGATACTTCTGATTGGACTGTAAGGGGCATTTGTATGTTAATTAAATCCTTGGATATTCATGTCTTGTATTACAAAAAGAAAAAGATTTCCCATTTAAAGCTCTACTTCAAGCTGGTGCCCAACGGTAATCTCAATAACTCAGGAGGCTGAGACAGGAGGATGGCAAATTCAAGGGCAGTTCAGCACATTAGCAAGGCCCTAAGCAATTTTGTTAGACCCTGTCTAAAAACAAAAAATAAAAAGAGCTGGGGGATGCTGGGCACGGTGGTGCACATGTATAATCCCAGTGGCTCAGGAGGCTGAGGAAAGAGGATCCAGAGTTCAAATCCAGCTTCAGCAACATGGAGGTGCTAAGTAACTCAGTGACACCCTGTCTCTAAATAAAATACAAAATAGGACTGGGTATGTGGCTCAGTGGTTGGATGTCCCTGAGTTCAATACCTGGCACCCCCCCACCCCATCCTGCACCCCCCACAAAAAAAAAAAGAAAAAGAAAAGGGCTGGGGATGTACTAAAAGAAAAAGAAAAGACCCTACTTGATTATACTGAGAGTTTTTTTGTTTTGTTATGTTATGATAAGGGAAAATGACAACAAATCTAGTTTAAAACAAATCTAGTTTTACATATCTTAATTTGCTTTTGTGATTCTAGAATTGCACAGCAGTCTGGACCAAAAATGATTCTGAATGTTCTGCCCTACCATGCATGTTATGTTTATAGGCAGAAAAAAAAAAAGGAAGTAACATACAGAAAGTAGAAAGTGAAGGTAGAGATTACTCAATTGGTTAAAGTTTGGCATTTGCTTTATTTGAACCTGGCTTGAACAGTTGGCTGACTGTGATTGGCTGAGTCTTGGCTACTTGTTAGAAGAACAGGTAATGGTCTATTTACATATCAAGTTACGTTACAATTCACTAAATACAGAAAAACTTTTAGACCAAACTTGTTTTAGTTTTTTTCTGAATTTTACTTGAAGATAAATTCTTTTGCACATGTAGAAAGGTTCTTTTGTCTTCCTTGAAGTAAAAGCAGCCCTGCCCCACAGTGCCATTCTTCTAAAGGGATGCCACCTGTTGCCCTGGAATAGCATAGGAACCTGAAATTCATTCATATAAAAACCTGACATAGAAATTCATAGTAGCTGTATATGTGGGCAGCCAGAAACAGAAAACAATCCAAATATTGCTCCTTAGGCAAACAGGTCAAGCATGGTGTTTTCATATAAGTCTCATCACTTGAGTAGTTCCATGTGCCAGGCCCTGTGCTGACTGCTGGGTTTCTTCCAGCTGGTCCTTTTCAGTGAGGCAAGCTTTGATTTGGGGTCTCCCCTTCTGATGAAACAGCATTTTCCTATTATCCGCTCAATGACAAGTTCTTAAATCCAGTCTGGATCCTTGACAAGGCAAAGCCAGTCTTGACAGCATGTGGTTAAGGTGCAAGGGATGTTATTTGGTTGGTACCTCATGAAACCAGAAAGGTGTATGGAGGCTCCTGATGTTCTGGAATATATGTGGCACTTTCAGCTGCAATTTAAATCCCTCAACTTCTTGTTGATGGCTTAAACATGGATAAGTTCCTTAGGTTTACTTGGTTTCAGAGGTTCAGTGCATGATCCACTGACTCCATAGCTCTAGCCCCAAGATGAGGCAGAACATCATGGTGGAAGGGCAATGGAGGAGAAAAGCTGCTCAGTTCATGGCAGCCAAGAAGCAAAGAGAGCTGTCTGCTCTAATTTTAACCATAAATTGGCAAATTATAGTTGTATATATTTAGGTGGTACAATGTGATTTTAGGATTAATAAATATGATGTGGATTAATTAAATCAAGTTAATTGAAATATCCATTACTTCAAACCTTATTTTTTGAGATGAGAACATTTGAAATTTAGTGATTTTAAAATGTCCCATACATTGTTTGTTATTTTTTAAAAAATATATTTATTTTTTAATTGTAGTTGGACATAATACCTTTTATTTATTTGTTTATTTATTTATTTTTATGTGGTGCTGAGAATTGAACCTAGGGCCTCACATGTGCTAAGCGAGCTCTCTACCAGTAAGCCATGACCCCAGCCCCATACACTGTTATTTGATATATCCACCACACTGTGCAGTATATCTCAAAGAGAATTTACTTGGCATTAACTATCTCACTGAAGCTTTGTCCCTTTTGACCATCAATTCCTCATTTGCCCCACCCTCTAACCTCCAGTAATCACCATTCTTCTACTCCCTGCTTCTTTGTGTTCTATTTTAAATTCCACATATAGGTGAGATTATGTGGTGTTTTCTTTTCTATGCCTTGCTTATTTCCTTATTATAATGCTATCCAATTCTGTTCATGCTATAACAAACACAATTTTTTTTTTCTGGTAACAGGGGTTGAACCCAGGGGCACTTAACCATTGAACCACATGCTCAGCTCTATTTTGTATTTTATTTAAAGACAAGGTCTCATTGACTTCCTTAATGCCTTGGAATTCGTGATCCTCCTGCCTCAGCCTTCCAAGCCGCTGGGATCACAGGTGTGCACCACTGTGCCCAGCTATAAAATATCTTTTTAAAGGTTGAACAATGTGCTTACTTCAGTGGCAAATATATTAAAATTGGAACAATACAGAGACTAAAGTTGAATGATATTTGTGTGTGTGTGTGTGTGTGTGTGTGTGTGTGACAGAGAGAGAGAGAGAGAGAGAGAGAGAGAGAGAG